TGAGAAAAGGGTGTCAATAGCATTTAGAGACCAGTGCTTTTTATATTGGTCAATATGAGGATAACAGTTCAGCATGTCATCCCCCGGCCCTCAGAGGAAATTTGGGAAGCGACAACATTGAACTAGTGTCCTTTGTTACTGTGGCACAAACAAGAGAGAAGCAGATCCAGCGTAGACTAGGACAACTCCCCTGCCAAAAGATGACAACGCTACAAAACATGAGGTTGGCAGGGTGATAACAAAACAAGAGACACAACATACGAAAGAGACCTTCAGGCCATTTGACAGCTGGCAGAGCAGGGGAAAAGGGAAAACAGCCCATTGTCTGAAACCTGCAGGAATGAAACTATTGTTTTGTGTGTGGAGATCATGGACACTAAGCAGTGGGATGCTTAAAGCATACCAAATTTCAGGGAAACAAGTCAGTCTAGCCTTTCAGTAAGCATTGAACCCAAGCAGCTAAAATCATATCAGCCGACATCCACATTCTCAATTATACAGTAAGACCACGTCAGGAACTTCTTGATGAAGACCTTGATCTTTATGCAGTTAATGTCCAAAACATCTATGATTGTTGGGTAGAGCTCACCGTCAACTTGGCAGGGAATAACAATCCCAATCTCACCATTCAAGCCCCCTTCTTGGTTAGCCAGCTGTCACTGCCCCAGACTTTACTAGGAGCTGATGTGCTCATCAAGAGACAAGAACTTTAAGGTGATGCTGGGGCTGCACGATTAATTGTTAGAAAATCACGATCTCAATTCATACTTATGTGCGATCTCATTTCCAAATGACGATTTAAAAAAAAGAAAAAAGAAAAAAGAAGACGACGATTGTACCGCATTTTGATCCGAGACGTAATCTGCATGAAAACAAGCGCTCACTCTTCCTGCTCAACAAATGACAAGGGCGGAGCCTTATACCACGTGATACAGAAGCTGTGCCTGTGATGCTAAAATTGGCAGGGAAAAAACAATGGAGAGCACGTCAGGGATGACGAGAAAGTGACAGGAGAAAATCCGTCTCGGTCAACCACCCAAACATCAATAACGGGAACCTTATACAGCGCTTCCCTATACCCGTCGAACTCCCGCAGGCACAAAGAAATTACGGAGGCTATTACTTATCACCTGACCAAAGATATGGCTCCCATCAACACTGAGCAAAACGAGGGATTTAGGAAAATGATCAACACCCTAGACAAACGCTACACAGTGCCGTCCCGCAACTATTTTTCTATTGTTGCACTACCTGCTCTATACACGCAGTGTCGAGCAACGGTGGAGACGGAATTTCAAGCTGTACAACATTTTGCGGCAACGACAAAATGTCAGACATTTGTTGTTTTTATGTTTATTTATTGTTTTTATGTTCAGTCTCAACTGTTACGAAGTTGATGTGCAGTTAATAAGTGCAATAAATATTTATACTGGAAAAGAAAATCGTGAGAGAATCGTGATCTCAATTTTAAGCAAAAAAATCGTGATTCTCATTTTATGCAAAATCGTGCAGCCCTAGGTGATGCCATTGCCACAGTTGTCAACCTCTTATGCAATGCCTTTGTGATGGGGGGAAGAACAGGTGATGGCCATTGTTTGTTTCACCCAGTTTGGGCAAGTAAATATTGTGACCCAGCTACAGTAAGAGTAGGACAAACAATATTCTCATTCCAACTGGAAGAGTGGTACAGGTGTTGTGCAGAGTACCCCCAAACTTTGACATCTCCGATCCCCTTGTTTTGTAATAACCTACAGAGGAGGACAGTGTCCTAGCACAGCTGAGTTCAGGGAATGGCCTTCTGGAGGTCCAGAACTCCAGTCACCCTTGTGTCAAGGTCCCGATCTCTAACCACTCAAAACATGAGATCACACTACCAAGGAGAACACTTCTCGGTACAATTCAGCATGTTACCAACCTTATTAAGATGTGCCCACCAGAGACACAAAAGACTGTTTCCACACAAACCAAAACAATCACAGCTCAAAGGCTTGAGGTAAAAGAAGATTTTCAAGAACTGTTGGTAAAAAGATGGATTTTTAAGTCTGATTCACACTGTTCTGCCCCATTCTTATGTGTGAGGAACAACCGTAGCTCCCTACACCTCTGTTGATTATCGGCTTTTTTTTTTTTTTTCTTTTTTTTCTTAAATGACATCAGAAACAGCAGTATGCGACATTACGTGATGGCAGAGCTTCAGTTCATCCTTTGTCATTTTT